AGAGGAGAAAGAGATACAAGAGAGAGAGAGACAAAAGACAAAGAGAGAAGAGACAGAATACGAAACCAGCAGAGAGAGTGAGAGAAAGAGAGACAAAGAGACAAACAAAAACCTAAAACAAAACACAGAAAGAAAGAAAAATCAGACACAGAGACAAAGACAGGACAACAATGACCAACCGCAGAAAGAGAGAAAGACGCGAAGACCGAAAAAGAGAAAGAGAAATAGACGAATTGGTCACCTGGACGACTCACCTCCTCAGCGCCTGCTTGAAGTCCCTCAGAATGGCCAAGGAAGAGAAGATGAGGGAAGAGGAAAAGGAGGAGTGAAAGAGGGAAACATATAGGGAGGGGAAAAGAGTTTAAAGAAGGAGAGGGAAGAGGAGAAGGAAGTGAATGATTTGAAACATAAGGGAGGGAAAAGAAGTTTAAAGAGGAAAGGGGGAGAAGGAAAAGTGGAGAGAGATGGAATAAATGAGGGAAGAGGAAAAGGAGAAGTGATGATTGAAACATAAGGGAAGGGAAAAAGAGTTTTAAAGAGGAAGAAGGAAGGAAAGTGGAGAAGAGATGGGAATAAATGAGGGAAGAGGAAAGGAGGAAGTGATGAGTGAAACATAAGGGAAAGGGGAAAAGAGTTTTAAAGAAAGAAGAGGAAGAGGAGAAGGAAGTAAATGATTGAAACATAAGGGAAGGGGAAAAGAGTTTGAAGAAGGAAGGGGGGAGGAAAAGTGAGAGTAGATGGGAAAAATGAAGGAAAAGGAGAAGGAAGTGAAAGAGTGAAACAAAGGGAGGGAAAGAGTTTAAAGAAGAAAGAAGGAGAGAAGAGAGAGGGAAGAGAACGAATAAGGAGGGAGAGTAGAGAGGAAAAGAAGGGAGAAGGAGAGAAGGAAGTGAAAGAGGGAAACATAAGGCAGGGGAAAAGAGTTTAAAGATGGAAATGAGAAAGACGGAAGAGGGAAGAAGGAAGGTGGAAGAGAACGAGGAAGGAGGGAGAGTAGAGGGGAAAATGAGGGGAGAGGGGAAGGAGGAAGTAAATGAGGGAAACATAAGGAAATGAAAAAAAAGGATTGAAAAAAGGAAGAGGGGATAGAAGGAAGATGGGATATAGATAAAGAATAAGAGAAGAAAGAAGGTGGAAGAGAACGACGAAGGAGAGAGAGTAAGACATGAGGGGAGAAAGGAAGAAAGAAGTGAAAGAGGGAAACAAGGAAGGATTGAAGAAGGAAATGGGAAAGAAGGAAGAGAGAAGATGGAGAGAGAGAGAAAGGATTGTGGGAAGAAGAGAGTGAGGAGAGAGAAGAGGAGAATGAGAGAGAGAGAGAGAAGAGAGAGAGAGAGAGAGAGAGAGGAGAGAGAGAGAGAGAGAGAGAGAAGAGAAGAGAGAAGAGAAAAGAAAGAGGGGAAGAAACAAGTGAGAGAGAGAAACATGGGGGAATGGGAAATGGATGAAGGAAAAAGAATAAAAGAGAGAGAGAGAGAGAACGAATTAGGAGAGGAAAAAGAGGAGAGAAGAGGAAAGTGAAAGAGGGAGAACAGAGAGAAGGGAGTGAAAGACGGAATGGTGAGAAGGGAGGAAACTAAGCTTGAAAAAGAAAAGGAGATAAAGTGAGTGAGGAAAGAGAGAAGAGAGATAGAAAAAGGAAGAGTTATGGAAGAAAGAATGTGGAAGAGAGAGAAGAGAAGGAAAAGAGGAAAATGGTAAGAAATGAGGAAAATAGGGTTGAAGAAGAATAGGAAAATGAAGAAAAGAGGAAGATAGATAGAGAGAGAGAGAGAAGGTGTAATGGGAATAAAGAAGGTGGAAGAGTGAGAGAAGCAGAAGAGAGAAGCGAAAGAAAGATAAGAAGGGAGGGAAATGAGAGAAGAAAAGGAATAAAAGAGAAAGAGAAGAAGGAAGAGGAAAGATATGAGAAAGAATTATGAAAAAGGAAGAAAGAGAGAGAGGAGAGTAAAGGAGGGGAGAACGGAAGAAGAACGTAAAGGAGGGAATAGTGAGAAAGGGGAGGAACAGAAGGGGAAGAAGAGAAGAGGTAAGAGAGAGTAAAATGATTTTGGGAGGAAACAAGGTGAGAGCGAGATGAAAGTGGAGCAAAGGACACGGAAAAAAGGGAAGCGAAAGAGGGAGAAAGGAGGGAAGAAGGATAAAAGACGAATAAAAGATACACGAAAATAGAAAGACAAAATAGGAGAAAAACAAACAAACAAACAAACAAAAAACGAAAAGAAAAAAAGAAACGAAAAAAAATAACGAAAACCAGAAAAAAATATAAACGAAACGAAACACAAAATCGGAAAAACAAAAAACACGAAAAAAAAAAAAAAAACATAACACAAAAAAAAATATAAACGAAACAAAACAAAAGAAAAAAAAAGGAAGATCATAAGCGCCCAGTAGAGGGATCTAACACTCCCAACAAGCCGACTCTCCGCATTCAAGCTTCTATTCAGAGGATTGGATTCCCTTCCCCATCAGCGGCGCCAAGGGGGATCCTCCTCGGGTT